TAGTTTGGTTGTTTCCAGTACTAAGGAATATTTATTTTGTTCGGTTATAGACCTTTTGGGCTGGAGGAAAATGACAAAAAAAATTGCTAAAGAACAATTTATGTTGAGTGACTTGAAAAAAACGCTAAATAGACTAATTGGGTTCAAGTTTTCTAACTTGTGTTAACTCATTAACCGATTTGCATAATTTTTTTCATCACTTGTAGCGTGATTTTTTGTCTATTAATGTGCCCGGAGTAAGAAGTGTAATGTTGGTTAAAAGTTACAATACTTTACACTTTGAGAAAACTCTTCGGCGCCACTCCTTTGAAACTGAGTGTATTTGTAGGTAAAGATGAGCGAAAATATGACTAAGTATCATTAAATTGGATTTTAATTGACGGTATTTTAACTCCAATGCACAAAGCTGCCTCTTCAAATTTGCATCAATATTTGAACGTATATTTTTATGTCCAGTTTTCTTATACCCCAAAGCAAACTGTAATAAAAGCTATGGTTCGGTTTATTGATTCACGACCCTGGCTTGGCAACCAAACATAATTCCGAGTTCCAAAATGTATTTATCTATTTTTTGCGTGATGCGAAGATGGGCATAAGGCGTGTTACGAATTGAACATACACGATTATTGCCAATACAATACATTTCGATTTCGGGAAGTTCCAGCAGTCGCCCCGAACAATATCGAATTATTTGCCTTTATGTCCGGCGACCCTACAGTCCGTATATTTTATCAAAAACAGACATTTTATTCAATAATTTTTCATTGGTGTGGGTTACCTTTTTTTGTCCTCGACTCAATTGAAACCGGCATCTGGTTTACCCGTAATAAAATTCATATCAGTATCTATATGGAATAAGGAGAGGATGAAATAAATTGTAAATTTAGTTTAAAGTTCGGACAAAGTCCAATTTTTTCATTACGTTTAGAACGTGAAACATTATTAGGCATCATGCTCTAGTGATATCGAAAGTCTACTAATTATAATTATACTGTTTTCCTT